TGGGTAGGTTGCACCTGGGGGCAGTGCACCTGGGGGTGGTATACTTGAGTAGTTTGCACCTGGGGGTGGTGTACCTGGGTAGGTTGCACCTGGGGACGGTGTACCTGAGTAGGTTGCACCTGGGGGTGGTGTACCTAGGTAGGTTGCACCTGGGGACGGTGTACCTGAGTAGGTTGCACCTGGGGACGGTGTACCTGAGTAGGTTGCACCTGGGGGTGGTGTACCTGGGGGTGATGTACCTGGGTAGGTTGCACCTGGAGGTGGCGCGCCTGGGGGAGCTACACCTGGGGATGGTGTACCTGAGGGCAGTGCACCTAGGGGCAGTGCCCCGGGGGAGCTACACCTGGGGGCTGCGCACCTGGGTAGCATGTGCCTGGGGGCTGGGCCTGAGGCGGACACGTCCCAGAGTGAGGGCAGTTTACTTCTGGGGCCTGGGGTTTTAACACAATCATTTTGACTGTGAGAAGATAGTGCCGATGTTTTCCTGTAGCCACCAAGTACAAAAGACCCGGTGAAAATGTTCTGGGGCGTGAATATAGCTAAATGCAAATAGCTGCCATTTTGGGATTCCATCCAGTGATGTAAGATGTTCATTTTATATGCAGTGGTTTTCGAATGAGATTTTAAATTCTGTGATAGGGAGTTTTTTATGATGAATGCTTCTAAAAGCTGTGTGGGTGTTTTTTAAAGCAGCCTGGCTAATAGCCGAGTGGGAAGCATAAGTGCTTCGCGCGCCCTGCAGCAGGGCTGGACGTTGGGCTCTTAGTATCGGGGCAGCGGGAGCCTGGCTCGAACATGTGTGTGCCTGTGGGTTTAGGCTCTTGGTGGAGGACTTCCCAGACCCTGTGTGCGTTCAGATCTGCAGATGTGGGAAACAGCAATTGGGAGGTAAAAATAACTGCTTGATGAGTCATTCTGACATGTCAGAAAACACCGCAACTTGGAAAAGGGCGAGACTGAGTGACCTTTCCCCATTTACCTCGGTGTGGAGGGAAGGGAGTTACGTCATCCAGGCTTCATAAAGTCTTAACAAGTGTTTGCCTCGTTAAGTACAGGACATCGCAGGGATTTTTTAACTAGAAGACCACAGACAAGGCAATGAGGAACGGGCCCTCGTTCCAGGCATCTTCTGGGCGCACGGCATTATTTTATTTTTCAGCACTCACAGCGTAGAAAAGGAGCAGCAGATCTTACATTGCTCGGTGGCCAAGCTGGGTTCTCCCCGGGACAGAAACTATTTGGGACGAGTTAGGTGCTCTGGAAACAAGCTAACCGTTTAAGGGCAGAGATAATTCTGGACACAGTGGTCAGTTAGTAACACGCTTTTCGGAAACACTGACTCGACAACAAGGAGTGCTTATGTATTTATCGAGCGCCTGCTGTGTACAGCCGGTGTGGTCTGCAGAACAAGCGTGGGAACTTCGCTGCAGGAGACGGGGTGGAAGTACACACAGGACTGAATGCAAGGGCAGGGAGGTGACCTGCAGAGTGCAGGAAGGTGGGTGCCGTGACACTTGGGTGTGATCGTGAGTGTGCGACATGCGGTCCAGGCAGGGACGGGACCGAGTCTGGAGAGGGCTGGATCGTGTAGGGCTTGGTGGCTCTGTGAAGAGGTGGCTTGGGGCTGAGTGCCGGGGCCACGTGGGAAGGTCTCCGGGGGCAGTGAGAATGGGGTGGAAGGAGGAGAGAGCAGAGCGAAGGCCTGTGGTCAGCCTGGCCGGTGCAGGGTGGTGGAGGTGGAGTCGTGGACCAGCGGAGGGGGACTTTGGAGGGCGAGATGGTCAGATGACGGTGCAGATGGGGTTGCTCACGGCCACGTGCTCCCCGT